CCAATAAAAAGGAAAAAGACCAAAAAAAAAGAGTCACAGGACATGTTAGCAATAACATTAAAGATAAAGAGAATCTAGCTGGGCAAGGTGGTGGCACACTTGTGATTCCAACACTTGAAGGCTGAGACAGGAGAATTACAGTGAGTTCAAGGCCAGGTAGGACTACATAATGAATTCAAATTCAGCTTGAATCCACATAGCAAGACTCTATCTAAATAAAATAAAATAAAGAGAATCTACAGGGGAACTTTTGGTACCTTGAAAGAATGTACAATTATAGCTATCTCTTTATCATGTGCCCCTGAAAATACACATAGATGTTAGACAAAACAGACTTTAAACATTTTCTGAGCATGGTGGTAGGTACATTTATGTAATCTCAAGATTCTAGGAGGCGGAGACAGAAATTTCACTTGATCACAACTTCGACCTCAACCTGGGCAACTTAGCAAGTACAAGTAAACTCTGATAAAAGTTTAAAGTCTGACCAAGTGCTTGTGTTACATTTGGACTTACCGTATCAATTAGGCACAGTTAGAAATTAATAATAATAAGTAAACAACTCTCTGGATTCAATCTCCAGTACTGCAAATAAAGTAAAATAAAAACAACAATGAATAACAAAATAGAACAGTTATCACAATATATAATAAAAGTTACATGAATGAGGTCTGTCTCAAAATATCTTATTGTAGTATACTCATTCGTGTGATCATGTAAGATTATACAACGATGACATGATGGTGCCTACATGATGACATGAGGTGAGGTAAATGACATAGGCACTGTCATATAGCATTAAGTTACACTTAAGGGTTAATTTGAAGCTAAACATTATCAAAGATTAAAGGCAAGAAAATAAAATACAATGAAAATAGGGTATAATAAAAAGCAGATTATTAAAGACAAAACATTAAGAAAAACAATCAAAACTAAAGACTCAGTTATGTGCTACATAGTACATTAGACTAAGTTAAAGAAAGAATGCGTGAACTAGAAGATAGAATTGATGAAATCACTCAGAATATGAAAAAGTAGGGACGTGATGAGAGAAAATATGAAAGAATAATTAAAAGACCCCAGGGAAAGCCTGAGAGACTACTGTATCCTGAGAGAGCCTGAGAGAATGGAGGAAATGTAACAACAGTTCAACATGTAATGCGGAAACTTCCCGAAGGTGGAAAAAGAAGTCAGCCTTTGGGTTGAAGAGTTCCAAGTCCATAAGCATACAATGATGAAGCTGAAGAAAACTGTAGAGAGAGAGAAAAATCTTAAAAACAACCGAAAGCAGCTGTTTATCTACAAAGGTAACATTACATTGGCAGCTGACTTTTTACTAGCAACAAAAGATTAGAGAAAAAATACAAAAAAGGTTTATAGAAAATATTTTATTACTTATTAATTGCAAAAGATCACAGGAAAAAATCTTCAAAAGGCAAAGGGAAAGTAGCTAGAATTCTATACCTACTAAATTTCTGTGTATAGGGAGTAATCTTGAAGATACAGGTGTAGGCAGAGATTTCATGAACACAACCCAACTGCATGGGAAATACTACAGGAATCAACTGGGATCTCACTCCATTAAAAAGCTTTTGCACAACAAAATAAATCACCAACAGAGTGAAAAGACAACCCAGAGTAGGAAAAAATTACAGCCAGTTGTCCCTCAGAAAAAGGACTTATATCTAAAACATATAAAGAACTGAAAAAAGTCAGGCCCCCCAAATTCAAAAACCCAATCCAAAAATGGGCATCTAAGAGGAATACGCACTTCTCAGATGAAGAAATACAAATGGAAAATAAATATATGAAGACTGTTCAAAACCGCTGGTCATTTGAGAGATGCAAATTAAAACAACACTGAGATTCCATCTCACCCTGGAAAGAACAGCTGCCATAAAGAAATCAACCAATAACGAACACTGGACAGGCTACAGGGAAAAAGGAACACTTCTTCACTGATGGTGGGAGTGTAGACTGGTGCAGCCACTGAGGAAATCATTGTGGAGATTCCTTTAAAAACTAGGATTAGGCTGGGTATGGTGGCACACGCCTTAAATCCCAGCACTACAGAGGCTAAGACAGAAGGATTGCTGCGAGTTCAAGTCTAGCCTGGGTTATAAAGCGAATTCGAGGCCAGTCTTAACTGTGATAATAGTGAAACCCTGTCTCAAAAAAATAAACACAAACAAAAAACTAGGATTATAAGTCTCATTTAACCCAGCTATTCCCTTTCTGGGTATTTTCCCAGAAAAATTAAAAACATCATGCCATAGTAATATATGAACACCCATGTTTATAGCAGCACAATTTGTAATACCCGAATCTTGGAAACAACCCAAATGTCCATCAACTGAAGAACAGATAAAAAAAGATATGATTTTAGGGGCTGGGGGCCTAACTCAGCGGCACAAGCATCTGCCTTGCAAGCAGGCAGTTGTGAGTTCGATCCCCGGTACCAATAAAAATGAAAAAGTCAAAAAAAAAATCAAAAAAAGATATGGTTTTTTAAAACACGATGGAGTACCATTTAGCCATAAAGAAGGACAAACTGGAGACTTTTATAGGGTAAATGGATGCAACTTGAGACCATTCTTATAAGTGAAATAAATGAGACCCATATGTGTGAACATCATATTATCTCACTAATGTGAAAAGCTGAATGAGTAAATAAGATCCAAAATGAAAACAGATATTGTAAATTGGGAGGAAATTTTTCAAAAGAAGAGAAACTGATACGGAGCAGGGGAAAGGAAGGAAGAGAAAAGGGAAAATATATATATAAGACAGTCAAGGCAGGTATACAGCTAGTTTCCCTTAGTTCACTGAAAAGAAAGATTTGTGTTAATATTGTTTGGACAATAGTTCATACCTGTATCTTGTACTCTGCGTAACTACTATGAAGAAAACAATACACACATATTATTATTACTCACCTATTAGCCTGATTGGAAACTGTTTTATTTTATTTCCATTTTTCTTCTTCTCTTTAAAATAATAAATTAATAAATTTCCTTATGCAAAGGATGTGAAACAGACACTTTAAGGCAAAGACCAAGAATGCTTACCACTCAAGGACTTTCACCAAAACACTACAAAAAAATACACTTAAGAAAGAAACTGAATGAGAAGTTGATTTCAAAAAGAAATAGTGAAAAAAATGGTGTACAGATTAATTTTTATATACATGAGTAAATTTATCAAGCATAGATAACGTGGTAGTGGTGGTAGCAATGAATCATCATCATCTCGATGCTTGTCTAGATGTGCTAATGTATTTAACCTGAGTTTAGTGGAGTGAAAAACAAGGCAAAACTAAAATACTAGGTTGAAATATGGGAGATTGTGGGGAAAGATCAGAATTAACATGTTTGAAGTTTCTTCTATTATTTAGAAAATGTACAGTCACTACTGTACACTTAAGGAAGAAAGTTAAGCAAATATATAAAAATATAATCACTGAAACAACAGAAATAGAATGTGTAATGTCCAAGTCAGTGGGAACAGGAATAAACAAGATCAGTAAATAAAGCGGTAATTACTGGTATTTAAATTGGTGTGATTCCTTTACAGAACATGGCCACAACTAGCAGAGTTGTACCTATACTATGACTCTGAAATTTTACTTCTTTGTATCTGCCTTAGGGAAATACATGGGAAGCATTTATAAAACTAACCATTGCAGCATTATTTTTGATATGGAAAGTTGGAAAAAGCCAAAATGCCCACTAGCAGAAAAGTGGATAAATTGTGGCTTATTCAGCAATAAATAGTACTCATGAACTGGAGCTATAAGAAACAACATGAATTAATGTAAAAGGACTGAGAAAAATATTTGCAGAAAAACTATACAACACAACACTAGTCAGGTAGATTTCTAAAGCAAATCAAAGTGATGTATTATTTGTAGATACATACATGTAAAGCTGTAAAAACCAAAAAATTAAATGTGGCAACATATGAATAGCTGGATTTTAGTTGTGTACAAGGATATTTGTAACAGTAATCCCTATGCTATACTTTTTTGCACATTTTGAATACTCATTTTAAAATTTCTAATGAAAGGATCTAGGCATTTAGAAATAAGGGTAAAAGGGGATAAATGGCTGCATCAGTCCTCAGAAAGGATGATCTCCTGGGATGGGATTAGGAAACAGGCTGAGTCCTGGGTCCAGGGATTATGAGAATTAATTCAGATCATCCCCCTAAGCTGATCACCTGGCTGACATGCTCACCTCCCCTATACCTCTAAACTCTTTCCTCCTGCCCCCTAACTTTACCTTCACGCTCAGCTCAGCACTAGTCTGCTCCCAAGAATAGAATGGTTTAGATCTCTTGAATGTTTCCTAGATGAAGGATAAACAGTGACCTGCACCCCAAGAGCCAGAAGAGATTAGTCTTAAGGTCAGAGCTCCTCCTAAGGAGAGCTTGGACTTGTGGGTATCACAATCCACAACTTCTTCCATGTCCCTTCTGCGTCTGTGCAGAGGACAGCAGTCAAAGCCAACTGCTAATGTGCTTCTGGCTGAGGTAGAACCAGAAAGAGCCACACACTAGGTCAGGATGAACAGTTGCTGGACTTACAGAATTAGTCTGTGCCAGTCCCCAGAGCTCCCCCAAGTCCCCAGTACCAGACCATTTCCATCATCTCTGACAACTGCTCTGTGCTCCAACTCTGGACAGACCCTCTGCAGAAAGGTCTGAATAGGTTTTTTACAGCCTTTCCCATGGCTGGATCACCTTGGCCACAGACACTGAAATGGAAACCTACCCTCTGGGGAACAAGTGAAACAGCCTTCTCTGTTAATAATCACTCAGAACACCAGGTTCAGGGGTCAAAAAGAGGGAGAAAAGAGAAAGAAAGAAGAGATAGAAAACGAGAGAGACAGAGACAGTGAGACAGAGAGAGAACAAGACTTTTAGAAACTACTATTAATAGGAAACATTTAACTCAACGAATATAAAATTCTGTGTTAAATGATAAAACACACCACTAACTGTGTAGTTGGGAGATTTGTTTACTCCTTTATTCTGTGAGTTAAGGATTTTGTTAGATGCTGGCAATACAAAATGACACAAAATTCCTAAACTTTAAGAAACTGGCCAGGTAGAGAACCCCGACTATCCAGTGTGCCTAGGGCTGCCCAGAGGGACAGAAGGCAGGGTAGGGGAAGGCTGCCTGGACGTGACCCCGCTGTGAGAGCTGAAGAACAAGCAGCAGGAGTGAGCCTGGGCATCCAGGGCTGAACACAGACAGGCAGGGGATATGCAAGAGAAGGGACTGGTGTGTGTCCCTGATTCAAGAATCTCCCAACGATGTTCTCAGTGTGCTGGGCGTCCCTGGTTCCCAAGTCACCCATTTCCATCTTAAATGAGACCTACAGAGAAATGAGACGAGCTTGGTCAGGGACCAGAACCAGGGAGTCACTCCTTAAATGAAGGGTTGAAGAGGTGAAATAAGCCTGGGCTTCCAATCTTCCTCTAGGAGAGTGAACCTCAGCAGTGCCAGCTCTGAACCGGCTATCGTGGGGGCGGCCCAGCTGGCTGGCAGGTCGGTTGGCAGAAAGGTTTTTGAGTCTGTAACTTGAATGGGACCACTGGAGGACCCCTTATAAGTGGGTGTCTGACTCAGGTTTGGTAGAGGTGCGAGGAAAACAGAGATCAGGGCTCCGCGGTTAGCAAATCTCGGCCTCGGGTTCCCTGTTCTCCAGCCTCCTCAAGCGTGAGGGGCCACTGCGAGGGCTGGGGTTCGGGCTCCCCGCGGAGGCGGGGGCGCCAGCCCGTCCTGAAGGGAGGAGGGGAATGAGAGAAGCGTGGCTGAGCTTCAGGAGGGCCTTGTCTTTTCTGCTCGAATCACAAGCTACGTTACATACCCAGGATCCTGACACTCGGCGCACACGGGGTTCTCACGCGCCGCTCTCCGGGACGGGACCCACCTCCAGAACCGGTGGATTCCTTCGCTCCCTTTTGGGGGAGACCTAAGCCCTGAGAACCTCACCTCTGCGGCCCGGGGCAGGTTGCTCCCTGGTCCCATGGGGCGATCCTGGGGGCCCCCCGCGGGCACGTGCCCGGCCGTCTGCCCTCTGCCGCCCGCGACGCTGCAGAGGCAGGAGGGAAGGCTTCCGGGCGGCGGCGGGAGGGGGCGGGGCCAGGGCCCAAGCCCCGCCTCGGCCCCGCCCCCTCCCTGCGCACCGGGCTCCGGGTCCTGGGCCCCGCGGCTGCGGCTTCTGCTCCGGGAGGCGGCGGCGGCGGCGGCGGCGGGAGCGGCCATGGAGGCGGGCGGCGGGGCCGGCGCGGGATCCGCGGGCTGGAGCTGCGCGGGCCCAGGTCAGAGCCGCCCCTCCCTCATGCCCCACCACCCCCTGCCGCTGCGCGGCTCTCCTCCCTCCAGACCCCCGGTGCTCGCTGCCTTGCTGCTCTCGGGCACTCCGCCCGGACTTGGCTCCCTCATCCTGGCCTCCACTGGCTCGAGCGGTCTCCATCTTCCGGCCTGGGGTTTTTCACCCTCCCCTGAAGCGCCCCACCTCACCTCTCTAGCCTGTGGGCTTCCAAAGCCTGCACACTCCGGCGGCCCCAGGCTCCTGAGCGGGGCAAGGCTGGAACGTGAGAGGTCCTGGGAGGCCGAGGACGAGAGGGAGGAGGTGCAGGGGGTGAGTCGGGCCGGAGCCCCTTCCCGCACGCCTCCCTATATAGCCCTCCCTTTGAGCATCACCGCCCCCTTTTAGCCCTTTTCTTTCCATCTCCTGGGTCCTCTCTCCCATCCCCGCCCCCCTCCTTCCTGTCCCCCAACCTAAACACACCTTCTTTCTGTCTGTGCCAGGGAGAGGAACCTGGAACAGCCTAGAAAGGGGTGCTGAAGAGGCTGGGCAGCTCGGGGCTGGGGTCTCCGTGGCAGGCAAAGCGTGAGAAGTGGCTGAGGGAGGGGAATCGAAGAGCAGGGCATAGTGAGTTAAGCACCTCCTCTGTCTGGGATTGTAAATCCTAGGGGGTCCCCGAGCTACAAGGCATCTCCTCTCCCCCTACTCTCAGCCCCCTGGCATCCCACAATGCCTCCTCTTCCTGCCCACAGGACCCACAGTAACCAATGTAGGCTCCTTTGAGGTGTCTGAGGGTTGTGAGAGGAAGAAGGGCCAACGCTGGGGGTCCCTAGAACGCCGTGGGATGCAAGCTATGGAGGGTGAGTTTTCCCCAGAGGTTTTCTGTCTTCCCTTACCACTCCTCTCCCAATTCCCTTGCCTCCTTCTTCCCCCTGACCCTAGAGCCCTGAGCCACAACACAGCCTTCCCTTAATTCACCTCAGGCCCCTCCTCAGCATCTGAGCTCCAGCCCTCCCAGGCCTGGCTTTGATGGAAGTTCAGAGAGCAGCCCTTTGGGGCCCTCTTCACCCGGCTAACCAGGTTGTGGGTCCTGGGGGAGCTGCCAGACAGATAAAGAGGCCTTGTTGGACAGAGCTTTGAAGCAGCCCTGCAGCATGGGGTTTGTTCTCATTGCCTGCCGACCCAGATCCCAAGCTGTCTCTTATTTTAAAAAGCAAGGACGTGAATATGAGAATTGTCTTTCTGGAGCCATCATTAACTTCTAATGGAAGCTTTGTAGCTTTGGTTTTCTAGCATTTCTTACTGCATGAGAGACAGAGGCTAAGAGGAAGGCAGGTGAAGCTGAACTCCTCACACATAAGCCTTCCCACCACACCCATGTGAGTTTGCAGATGCTGCCAACACATTTCCCAGGACTTCCTGTGAAGTGTCCCCAGAACCCTCTGCACATTCAGTATGAGCAACCCTGCTCCCTGAAAGAAGGGTCAGATGACTAGGGGTCCCAGATGTACCTTAGTTAGGCTGCAGGTATTGGGGAAAGAAACCAAAGATTTAGAATTTCAAAACAAAGCAGACAGTCATCATCCCCAAGCAACATTTTACTATCTACAGCAACTGCATTGCAGTAAGGGGGGTGCTCACCAACTAGAGACGGACCAGCACCAAACCCCACTTTTTAAAAGTATTAATGTGCCAGTATTACAAAGTATTAAAAAGCATTAATATGCCAATATCACACACAAGTTCAACCTAAGACTTTCCCTGAAAACCATCTTGGGTCAGTAGGGAAATAGAGACCTCATAACACCAGCTGAGCAAAGCCAGGTGGACCTGCTAGAAAATTTTTAAAACAGCTTGGTGTGGTGATGCATGCTTGTAATTCGACTACTCAGGAGGCTAAGCCAGGAGGCTTACCACAAGTTCTAGGCTAACCTGGGCTACATGTGAGTTCAAGGCCAGCCTAAACCACAAAGCAAGACCTTATCTGGAAAAAACAAAAAAAGTTTTAAAACCTATTTGATAACACATTTGAAAGGATCACAGTGTTTGACTAGTAAAATACTTAGGATCATTTCACCCAGAAGTTTTTTTTCTCCACCTATACATAGCCAGCCAATACTTTCTTTTTTTTTATCTTTTTTCGTTTTTATCGGTACCAGGGATTGAACTCACGACTGCCTGCTTGCAAGGGAGGCACTTATGCTGCGGAGCTAAATCCTCAGCCCCTAGCCAATACTTTCTAATTATGGAAAGGCTAGTGTTTCACAACACATCCAGATAATTTTTTAACCTTCTGCAAATCCCCAAAATGAAACTCTGGCCCATTTAAACTAAAGACATCACAGTGTCTAAACCCTTTCTTGCCTACTTGTCCTATTACCTAGAACCCAGAATAGAAGAGCCAGACATCCTTCTGCAGGCTTTCACAGCTGAGCCAGCACCAGGCTGCTCCATTTGTCCAAAGGCGGTAAGGGCCAGCAAGTGTGATATCAGCAAGTAAGGGTTTGGGAGCGGGAAGGGACACCTCCAGACTTGACCCTCACACCTGCAGCTTCATCAGTCCCTGTCCAGGGCCTCCAGAGGGGTGGTAGAAGTGGTATTCTACCATCTGGGTCCAAGAGTGGTAAATTGAGTGGAGGACTCTGGAAAGACTGGACATCTGGGACAGGAAGTGGGTGTTGACTTTTTGGTGGGATGGGTATCTCTCCCTAGGGGAGGTATTACTTCCAGCTCTCTATGAGGAGGAAGAGGAGGAAGAGGAAGAAGAGGTAGAAGAAGAACAAATACAGAAAAATGGGAGTGTGAGCTCCCTGTCTGTTGGCAAGCATCGGGGCCTGAGCCTCACGGAGACAGAGCTGGAGGAGCTCAGGGCTCAGGTGCTCCAGCTGGTGGCAGAGCTGGAGGAGACTCGTGAACTGGCTGGACAGCATGAGGATGACTCCCTGGAGCTGCAGGGTGAGCACTTGTGATGGTGGGTGGGGCAGGGGCAAAGATTCTGGGCTCCTGTGGAGTCAAACTGATTCCCTCTCTTACTGCAGGGCTCTTGGAAGATGAACGGCTGGCTAGTGCGCAGCAGGCAGAGGTGTTTACCAAGCAGATCCAGGGACTCCAAGGTAATCCCCCGACTCAGACTGAGGGGACGTGGCCCACCAAGTCCCTTTCTCCTGAGGATTTACCGAAATACAGCAAACAAGCATAACCTATTCAGTATCTTCACCTCATGTTCCTGTGCTGTTCTCACTCACCACCACCTATTCTTCTCTTTGCCTAATTTCCATTCCTTGCACTTCTCCCTGGCTCTTCTGTCCTCCCTTTTCTGTTTCCCCTCCTGTCTTACGTGTTCTCTCTTCCCTTTTTCTCTCCTTAAATTCCTCTACAGTGCATCCCTTATCCTTTGTCCTGGTCAGTGCCAGGGGTGGATGATCAAGGTTGAATTCTAAGGCAGATTCTTTTTTTGGGTCCCTTCAAGGGCACCATGGGAAAGAGGAGGGAGCCAGTGTGAGTGATTGGGGAGCACTCTATGCATCTTTGAGGGAAGCAGATAAGAGTGCTTCTCTGGATCCTCAGGACCAGAGCTTGTGGCTCCCAGATCCCTCTCTTCTAGTGGCAAGCATCCCACATTCTACTGCACCACTGAATAGAAAGGCAGCTTTTGTTCTGTGGAGTTCTGGAAGGTTTTTGGGGAGCTGCCCTAGAAAACAGCAGGAATTGTCTAGGGAAAGCTAAGATCAAGCCAGATGAAGAGTATAAATGGAGAAAAAAGGAAGCCTGGGAGCAGGCCTGGAGAGAAGCAAGCCAAGGTGTAAGAAGGGGAGGGAAAGGGAAAGGGACAGAGATGTAAGCAAAAGGAAATGTGCAAAGTGTAGCAAAGAAGAGAAAAATGAAAGATGTCACACAGGGAAGGGTGCGGTGTTGATATCAGATCACCTAGATTTTTTTTTTTTTTCAGTGCTGGAAACTAACCCAGTGTATTCACACTGAGCTACATCCCCAGCTCATTTTTTATTTTTTATTTTAAGACAACTTCTCACTAAGTTGCTGGGGCTGGGTTACAACTTGTGGTGCTTCTGCTTCAGCCTCCCAGAATACTAGAATTACTAGCATGTACCACCACACCCTCCTAGAGCACCATTCTTGGGTCCAGCCTTGGCACCTAAAATGTTGTGATCTTGGGCAAGTCATTTTTATTTCTCTGAGACTCTATTTCTTGCCTATAAAGTAGGGCTAATTTATTTGTCTATGAACTGTTTATTTAGAGCCTTTATATTTGAAGGACCAGCTCTGAACAAGGCAGACCAGGTCCCCAGTGAAGAGTAGATTCTCTTGGAGAAGGCAGAAAATAAATAAGCAGCATAAGTTCAGAGGCAATAAATGCTGGGAACACAATCCAACAATATGATTTTTAGAAAGAGGAGATGACATGGGAGTTTATTTTAAGACAGTCTGAAAAGGCCTGTTTGACAAGATGGCATTTGATCTGTACAATAGGAAGAACTTAGCCATTTATGCTCTGAGGGAAGAGCACACCAGGCACAAGGAACAGCACCTAAAGAGACCCAGCGGTGATAATGAGCTTCATATGTTGACGACCAGAACAAAGGTCCTGAGGGCTGTGGAGGACCCTGGTAAGAGAAAGTTCCAAGAGGTAGAGGCCAATTACAGAGGATCTTGTAGGCCAACTCAGAGCTCTGCCTTTCATTTAAAACATAGGGAAAATTTAGCAAGGGCTGGGATGATCTGATGATCTGTTTTGCATTTTTAAGAGAGCATTTTAACCATTATGTGAAAACTTGTTGGAAGGAGTTGAAACAGTGAGTCTTAGCAGGAAATTATTGCAGTAGTCCAGTCAAGAAATAGATAATGTTTGCAGTGGAACTATAGAAATGGAGATCATTCAGAATATATGTTGAAGATGGAACCCTCAAGAGCTGCTAATGAATTTAATGAGGAATAACAAAGACATGAAAGATGACTTAGGCTGGAGAAGCTGGATGAATGATGTTATTGTTCATTGGGATGGGAAAAACGTAACAAGGAACAAATTTGAGAACTGAGGGAGCCATTTAAGATTTAAAATGTTGGGCCAGGGATATAGCTCAATGGCATAGCCACTGGCAAGCCCAAGGTCCTGAATTCAATTTCTGATACAAAAAAAAAAAAAAAAAAAATTTTAAGTTTTTCCACCTGATGAGTTTGACAACTAAGTGGCTATGTTAAGGAGGCGGTTGGATATATGAATCCAGAACCAGTGGAGACATTGGGGCTAGAGATAGAGATTTGGTAGTCATTAGCATTTTACTGGCATTAGAAGCCATGGGATGTGATGGTGCTGTCATATGGAAAATTATGGGAAGAAGAGAAAAAAGGATCCAGGCACCAGAAACACTCTACTATTCAGAGGTCCACTATAGAAGGAGAAATGAGCAAAAGGAACTGAGGTAGGAGAAACTCCAGAGCCATGACATGCTATGGAAGCCAAGAGCAGAAAGTGCTTCAAGGAGACAATGATCCACTGTCAAAAGCTGCTAAGGCAGGCGAGGTGGCCTTTGGAGTTGGCAAGATGGTGCACCCTGAGACGTTTTCAAGCAAGTAGAATGTTAGTTGAACTGGAGTTGAAGAGGAAACAGGAGGTCAAATGAAAAAGGTGAGTACAGACCATTCTAATAGTCATTTTAAAGAGAAGTAAGGAAAATAAATAAGGGTTAAGGGAGGGCTTTTTTTAAAGGTAGGAAACAGCATGAGTGTATAAAGAAAGAAAAGAGGGAAAGCAGCCGAAGAGCGCCTGGAGAAGGAACATTGTTCCAGTGGGTGGGAAAGTCAGGCAGTGTGAACAGTCTGAGAAAGTACAGCTCCAAAGCGCTTCTGTCCTGTGGCTTCCAGGGTTGTTTGTGGTGCTTCCAGGATGACTTCTGCTCCTGCAGGCCTAGGCCTTGGGTGGGAGGGCGCCACCCGCCACCCCGCCACCCCGCCACCCCGCCACCCCGCCACCCCAAGCCCGGCCTCCTCGGACCTGAGCGCCTGGGCTCGCGCAGGCGCGTTTCCCGTTTCCCCCAGAGGGGGCGCGCGCGAGGCCTCGGAGTAGCTGGTGGTCAGAGGCCATTACGGCCGCCACAGCCCCTCCGGGGCCCGGACCTGCCGGGCGGCAGGAGGCCCCCCAGGGAGAGCGCTAGTGGGGGGGCCAGCGAGATGGAGGCCATTACTTGTGAGTGAGAATCGACTTGTCCGTCCAGCAGCCTGACTCCTGGGCTCCAAGCATCGCCCCGACGGCCTGAGCCCCATGGTCAACGGACGCCAGCTGTTGAAACCAGTTCTGGCCTTTCCAACTCCTGGACGCGGCCCCTTTTGACTTCCGGATAGGCCCCGTCCCTCGCCCCCGTCCCTGCTCCGGGACTGCGAGGGCCGTTTTATTTTATATTCTCATTTTTTGTTATTTTTGAGTTAGGGTCTCACTATAATGTTCAGGCTGGCCATGGACTAGCAGCGATGCGCCTGTCTCGGCCTCCCGAGTGCTGAGATTACAGATGTGTGCCACTACTCTGGCCTCTGTTTTAGAGCCAGACCCCAGAGGGTACCTACAGGAGACTTGTACCCAGAGGTCAAGGGCATTTTAGGGAGTGGGATCTGGTCCTACCCCATTGAAAGCCCGCCCCAGGCTCTAGGGTGGGCTTTATCCTCAAAACCAGTGTTGACACAGACCTCATTGTGCTGTTTAGTAAAGAGAATTGGATCTGGCCACTACAGTAATGGGGATGACTTCCTTTCAAATGGAGAACCTAAGTGGACTTTCTGGGGCTTGCTACAATTGATAACTGGCCAAGATTTGTTGCTAGAAGCAACAAGAAAACGAAGGATTACAAGAAAGGAAGTGACTAGTGCCACCCATTTGAGCTCAGAAGTGTGGGGTCAGAAAGTGTCCCGTGAGGCAGCCTGCCTACCCAGCGTTTACATCTGTGATCTGTCCAAATCAATCAGTGTCTGTCTCTGCCTCTGTATTTGTCTCTCTTTTGGTGTTAGCTGATCCCAAACTAGGATCAAGCAGGGACCTCTCAGTCTCTGGAGTTCTTGCTGGGACTATAGGCATGCATTACCACACTCTAAATTTGTCATAAAGTATCTGAGTTTTCTTTGAATTTTTATAAAATACCTAAACATGTCATTCTGTATAGATAGGGGAAAAGCAGTGTAAGTTTGTTGAATTGAAGAACCCCTACTTCATTTATGCATGAATACAGCAAATGTTAATGTATACATTTTGCCATTCCTGGGACCTGTAATGGTGAGCAAAACAGATGTGTTCCTGCCTTCCTAGAGCTCATAACCAAGTGAGAAGGAGGCCAACTATACACACTGATAGATGCATGCGCACACACACACTGCAAACTACAGGTATATGTGAAGGTATTTCATGGAGGACTTCTGTTAGCTTTTTTCCCCTCTTAGTTTTTTGAGGCAGAAGGGGGTAGGCTAGGAAAAGTTGAAATCTGAATGGTGAGCAAAAATGAGGCATAGTGATTTTATGTCCTGGATAATTTCCAGTAATCCATACTCCTTAAAGTGCAATAAAAACGAGTGTGGTTTTTAAAAAATAAAGCATGGGGGAATGTGTTTTGCAAAGGGCATGTGGGAAAGACTTTACTCTCTAGGTCCTAATTCCCTAATCCTGGCTTCCAGATCCTGAATTTGTATTGGTGCCAGTTGGTTTTTTGTTGTTTTTCTGTTTCGGTTTGGCTTTCTGAGACAGGATTTCACTATGTAATGCAGGCTGGCTTTGAACTCGCTTACATAGCTCAAATTGACCTCCAACTCAAGGTAGTCCTCTTGCTTCAGCCTCCTGCTGCTGGGATTACAGGTGTGCACCACCATGCCTGGCCCTGTCAGTGGCTTTTATTCTCTCCAGTTTCTAGTTCTCCTGAATCTAGATGGGTATCTCTATACGCTGAGATGTTCCACAGATACAAAACTCTGACATATTTCTTTATAAGCTGAAAAAATATATGTAATATAATCACATAAAGACTTCTTATGATACGCAAACAGCACAAATACATATGAAAGTAAAATGCTGTACAATTTTTGAAGCAATTGATCTTAATAGAAATATCTAGCCTTTTTCTTTCTTAATAGAAATATCTAGCCTTTTTCTAGAAATATTTATGCCTCAAATTGCACAAATATTTCTAGAAAAAGGCTAGATATTTCCAGAATCTTTGTACATTTATGTGTTATATACTATACATACTAAGTTTTTAGCAACATTGAATTTTTCATATATTTTACTTTCTAGTTAATATATTATGGAAACTTTTTTATTCTTCACTATAGATTTGCCATTTTCTTTTAAATGACTATATGCTATTCTATTAACTATTATCAATTTAAACAATCCTTTAGTCAATATTTAGGTTATTTTTCCATTTTTGGTTATCATGTGAAGAACTAATTTGAATTCCAGCTGGAAACTAAATGCACATTGTTTTGGGTCCAGTGCTTACTATAAATGGCACGAGTGGGGGAGGAACTTTGAGGCTGTGAAATTTCTAAACTCCCAGAATGAATAGGTGAAAATCCTGTGTGACAAATTTCTAACCAAGACATTTTTAGAATGGCTGGGAGTATCAGTAGAATAGTGTCAACCAGTGTTTGTTGTTTAACTCTCAGATGATTCCTTTGAAGCACTTAATACCTTCTGTTTACAGTAGTCCAAATCATTGTTCTCCAAATGAGACCTCAAAGTCTGCCTTTCTACTGCACCTTACTATGTAGTCCCTCTGTTCTCTTCATAGGTAGTCTTTTCATTCTATACCATATGGTGCTTTACCTCTCTGATGCGGTAGGGTCTAGGTTGTTAGGAGTTTCTAGACAAGAAAAAACTCTGCTTTTAACTTTGTGTATAAAACATGCTAGATTAATTCACTTACCCTCTTGACCGTCTTAAACTTTGGGCCTTACAGGTGAGCTGCGGCATCTACGAGAGGAAATTTCTCTATTAGAAAGTGAGAAAGAAAGTGAACTTAAGGAAATAGAACAAGAGTTACACTTAGCCCAAACTGAGATCCACAACCTGCGGCAAGCTGCGGCAGATTCTGCAACCGAACATGAGACCGACATAGCATCCCTACAGGAAGATCTCTGCCGGATGCAGAATGAACTTGATGACATGGAACGCATTCGGGGGGAATATGAGATGGAGATTGCCTCACTCCGTGCAGAAATAGATATGAAGAGCTCTGAAACATCCAATAGTATAAGTCTCTCGGATTTCTCTGGGTTGCAAGGTATGAGAGCGAGCCCTCCTCCTGGCCCATAAGTCAGGTCAAGTGGAAGAGAGATCATAGATAGGAAGGAGGTAAAAGATTATCCATAGAAGGAAGGTAGTGTTAGATTATTTATTAGAAACCTCCAAAACAGAATTCCAGGATGAATTTAAGACTGTAAGAGATTAAAACATCCCCAGCTTTTACATAACTAAACCATAGTTTTATAAGAAATAGCACCATGGAGAAAATCTGTACCATGAGGATTCTTTGCCAGAGAGCAAATGGGTACTGTTGGTTTATCTACAGCAAAGTCCGTCCTGGGAAAGTATCCAGTTTTGGGGCAGACGTAGAAAGGCCTGTCACCTTGGGAAACTTCCTACTCTTCTGTCATTGTGGCACTTTTCCTGGACCACTTTAGGGAGAAACTTCAGCCCTGTTTCTGAGTCCCAGGATGCAAATTCTTAGTCTTCTTTAGCTCTCCCCATGGTAGAAGCTTTAGGGGTCAACAAATCAGAGCATAAGACAGCTGGAGAGGAAAAGAGGTTATTTCTAGTAATGCATGAGGTACTCAAAAGCTTTCAGACAGAAAGACTCTCAGCTAGTTGCTAGGATCCATGACATCAGAGAGTCTGCCTTTGCTCTGGGCTAGATTTATGATCTGGCTATGATGGAGGCCCTATATTTGGCCAGGTCAATCAGAGGTAGCAGCCAACAAGGAATCAAAGAATTGCAAGTTTTCCTAGCTGTATCAAGCCTCTCAGAAAAGCCTTTGGACTGATGGTGCTGGGAGAGGGTGACCAGCATATGGGAAAGGCTTTGGCCGGAATGAAACAGTTCAGAAACCCAGCTCCACTCAACAGGGTAAACTTAAGTTATTATTTTTCTCTGAACCTGTTTCCATCTCTGAAATACGGAACCCAAATTAGTTCATAAAACCTTACAATTAGATAGAATCCTGGTACAGAAGTTGCTGAAGGATCTCATTGAAGAAGAATTAGAATAAAGTGTAGAAGCTGGATGTGATGGTACACAGCTGTAATCCCAACACTTAGGAGGTTGAGGCAGAAGAATCATCTTGAGTTCAAGACCAGCCTAGGTTACAAAGTAAGCTAAGGCCAACCTGAACTGCATAGCAAGACCCTGTCTCGAAAAGACTAAATAAATAAATAAATAAAATACAGAGTTCAGGTAATAGTAAAGTACTTATGTTGATTCCTTAGTTGTGACAAGTGCATCATGCCAATATAAGATTTTAGCATCAAGATAACTGAGTGTCTTCCCAGGGAACTATCCTACCTTTGTAGCTTTTTTATAACTGTAAAACTTTTAAAATTTATTTAGAGAAAAAAGAAAACCTTAAAGGGCTCTTTTGGTAATTAAATGAAATGCCCATTCAAGACTGAAATCATCCAAACTAATAATTGGCATGGTTTTCATTAAATATTAGCTTCCTAGGGGCTGGGGACTTAGCTCAGTGGCATAAGCAGCACCTGCCTGGCAAGCGCGAGGTCATGAGTTTAATCCCCAGTACCGCTAAATAAATAAATAAATATTAGCTTCCTACCTTCTTTGGGAATCTGCAGTACTCTAAAGACTTATGGTTGGAATAAAAAAGACATTAGATGTGACATTAGAGCCAGGCATGCCTATAATCCCAGCACTCAGGAGGCTGAGGCAGACAGATCACAAGTTTGAGGTCAGCCTGAACTACACAGCAAGACCCTGTATCTAACAAAACAACAACAACAAAGTGACTTTTAGGATGTCGAATTTTCTAGCAGGTAAGATGGGTCTTATGTTATAATTAGGGCAAGTTAATGTTTCTTTTTTTTTTTTCTTTTTGTTTTTATCGGTACCAGGAATCGAACTCATGACTACCTGCTTGCAAGGCAGGCGCTTATGCCGCTGAGCTAAATCCCCAGCCCCAAGTTAATGTTTCTTTTTTTTTTTTTTTTTTTTTTTTTTTTTTATCAGTACTGGGGATTGAACTCACAACCGCCTCCTTGCAAGGCAGGTGCTTATGCCGCTGTGCTAAATCCCCAGCCCAAGTTAATGTTTCTTAAATGTCAGTAGAATTAATGTTCTAAAAGACGTGATTCTAATTATGAAAATATAATATGTAGATGTTTGTATCATCATGACATTAAAAAGTATTGGTAGCGGAACATGGTGGCACACATCTATAGTCCAGCACCCTGAAGGCTGAGGCAGGAGGATCACAAGTTTGAGCTAGCCTGCATAACTTAGCAACATAGCAAGACTCTGTCTCAAAATAAAAAAAAATAAAAAAGTAGTTGGGGAAGTCATTTAGTGTAAACATCCTAGGTTCAATCCCAAACAATGGGGAAAAAAATTGGTGACTGTTACTTAGGGATATATGTGGGGTATTTCTACCAGATCTCCTCTGTGCTTGAAGATGAGATTGAGTCTAGTTGGAGTAGGCTTTTCTGTCAGCAGACAAAAGGCTATAGAAAAGATACTTGGCCAGGCTGGGGATTTAGCTCAGCGGCATAAGCACCTGCCTGGCAAGCATGAGGTCGTGAGTACAGCCAAAAAAAAAAAAAAAGAAAAGATACGTGGCCATATCAGACCAGTGTTTTTGGTATGATAGTAAAAGAAGAAAAGAAAGCTCACATTCCTGGGTTGCCTTGAAAGGCAGGCTCTGGCACTATATTATTGGCAGTTCATGTTGCTCAGTTTTTTGTACTAAAATCATGATAGGAGGAAATCAATTCAGTGGAACAGTTAAGTGGCAACTTTAAATACAATAAACCCAAAACTTATTTAAACCCTCAAGAGCTCCTGAGCTCAAGACCTTGCTTCAGTGGGAGCTTTGAGGATGAGCGCCCAGAGTCCATCTTCTGGGAAGAAGAGAAGATGGGCAGCTTCTAATAGAAGCAAAGCCTCTGTACCATGGAATTTCCTGAGACCCGTCTTCTATGGCTCCCTAGTATCTCTTTTCTGTCTCCAGCAAAAGAGAAGTAGTCAATCTTCTGATCTCGGGATTCTAGGCAGGAAAACTGGGGGCTGGTCATCAGTGCCTTTGCCTGGCCCCTCCAAGGTCTCATCTCTCTCTGCTTGTACCCTGTAGAAGAACTGCAGCAACTGCGGGATCGCTACCACTCTCTGAATGAGGAGTACCAGGCTCTGCAGCAGAGCAACAGCAGCCTCTCGAAGCAGCTGGCGGAGCTGGAGAGTGAGAGGTACAGCCAGGAGACAGAATGCTATGGACTTGCCCTTGGGCACTCCCTGGAAGACAGAGGCCAGGGTCCAGGAGTATTCCTGCTCCCAGAGAGCCAGTCCCTTCCAGGGCATCCCTAGGGCAAATCTAAACTGGCTGTGCCTTTGAATAGGTCAGTTGAGAGTCCTGTTTGCACAGACACCATTGAGTTTAGTGGCACAGAGCCTACAGGTTGGAGTTGGCTTGACACCAGGCACAACCTTAAAACCAATTGGACCCGCAATCCTATGGTATCCCAGAGCCACGCATACTTCTGCACCTGAGATGCCAAAAACTCTCTGTCATTTTCTAAACGTTTTTATTTGAAAGTTGAAGCACAACTAAAGGCCCCTTACTTACCTCTTTGGCCTAAACTGAAGGCATCAACACCAAACTCACTTGGCTGGTGCTAACCAGGCAGAGCTGCTGCCATCGTAACTCTGGGTTCTGTGTTACAGGACACGAAGAGCAACAGAGAGGTGGCTGGAGTCCCAAACACTAAAGAGTATGATATCATCAGAGTCTCAGACTTCAGAAATGGATTTCCTGGAGCCTGATCCTGGAGTGCAGTTGTTACGCCAGCAGCTGCTGGGAGCTGAGGAGCAGATGCACGACATGCAGAATAAGGTAGACCATGGAGAGTAGGGAGGCCTGTTTCACCACGCTCTTTCATCTTCTCCTGGCATGTGGTAGGCACAAGGCTAACAGAGGCCTATGGTAGGCACAAGACCCCTCTAGGGTCTTGCTAGCTTGCCTGATGTAAATTTGGTCATGTGCCATATGGTGATACTTTGGCCAAAACTGGATAGTATATATGGTGGCAGTCCCATAAGATTATAAGGAAGCTGAAGAATTCCTGTCATCTCGTGATGTTGTAGTGCAACATGTTTCTTAACATGTTTGTGGTGATGCATGATGTGAACACACCTTCTGTGCTGTCAGTCATGTAAAACATAGTATATATACTTATGCACAGTATTTAAGACAATATGATAATAAATGGCTATGCTACAGGTTGCTGTATGTACTATGCTTTTATCATTAGGGTATAATCCTACTTACTAAAACAAAAAAATTTACCAAAAGCAGTATACTATGTCACAGTGGCAGCAACTGCATAGATTTCTTATTCATTGAGCCTCTTGATTGCATCTTTATCTGCTTGACTTACTCTCATGCTATTTTGCTCATCCTGGCTCCTGGAGCAATAGGCTATTGTACATATATCATAGGTCACACCAAGTTAATCTAGATTCGTGTAACATTCAACAACATTCTTACAATGATTCAGCAGCCTCAGGATGCATTTCTTAGTGTGTATCCATGTTGGGAGGCAATACGTAACTATATTTCAATCAGAAGAATGAATTTGTCCAAGCCTGTTCCTACAGTATACATGGCACCTGTGCTAAACCAGCCCCATTCCATTTCCTGCACAGTGTAAAGAATTGTGTTGTGAGTTGCAAGAACTACAGCATCATCGGCAGATCAGCGAGGAAGAGCAGAAGCGGCTTCAGAGGGAGCTCAAGTGTGCCCAGAATGAGGTGCTTCGGTTTCAAACTTCCAGCACTGTCCAGGTAAACACTGTTGGGGGAGGCACCTGGGAGGGCAGAGGTCCTATTCATTAGGAGTCTCTTCTTCAGGGGAGGTTGAACTCTGCTGATGTTCATCCTACAACCAGAGGCCCAGGCTACTATAGGCCACATACCATGGCATTCTAGAAATGTACTCATTGTTAAGTGTCTACCTTGCTGAAGAGACCATACCATAGACCCAGGCCTCTCAAGCAGTCTGAACCTGAAAGGACCAAGTTGATCTGGAGAGGGCTCTGCTGCTTCTTGAGAATAATCATTCTACCCACAGAACGAGGAGCTGAAGACCAGGCTTTGTGCCTTGCAGCAAAAGTATGATGCTAGCCAAGATGAGCAGAATGAGCTCTTGAAGGTGCAGGTACAACTTCAGAGTGAGCTCCAACAGCTCAAAATTATGAAATCCACAATCACGGAGAGCCAAAGTGAAAAGGTAACAGCACCAGTGGTGAAGGAACAACCAAAGTGATAAGACCACCAGTCTGAGGTTTTGGGGAAGGTAAAGAAGAGTAGAGTTTAAAATCACTCCAGCTGCCACTTGGGCAGCACCAAAAGTAAAGAATCTTACACTGGGTGTGGTGGCACACAGCAGTAATCCCAACACTTGGGAGGCTGAGACAGGAGGCTTGCTCTAAGTTCAAGGCCAGCCTGAACTACATAGTGAACTCCAGCCTCAGAAAGCCAAAATAATAAAGACTCTCAGCCCTCCACCCCCACCCCAGCTGCTTCAGGTGAGAAGTGGCAAAGGGAGGGACAAGTAAATCTGTAGGTCACGAGCAACAGAGAAGTTGAAAAAGAGAGGGGAATTTAACGACAGCAGCCCTACCCTAACCCCCTGCACACAGGAGTTACTTTGCCAGCTCCAGAAGCTGCAGATCCAGCACCAGAACGTCATGGGTGAGAAGGAGAAGCTGCTAGACGTGCACTGTCAGCTGCAGGAGAAGCTGCAGTGCCACGAGGCAGAGCTGCGGTGCCTCCGGGACTTGGTGGCCTCCTTGCGGGAATCTGATGAGAAGGTAAAAGGAGGGCCAGGTGAGGGAGATCGTGGTCAGGTAGAATTCCCGTAGGGTGAGCACAGAGTGGGCCTGGTGGGAATTTGTGGAGGAGCTGCTGTTGAGAAGACCAAAGAGGTGCACATATAAAACTGGTCTCAGAGAGTCATGCTGCTCAAAGCTTCCTTTTTTTCAGGTCAGAAAATTAGTCTGTAAAGAAAAACCCTTTGCTTCCCTACCCTCCAAAAAAGGGTAGCTTCACAAGGTCTGAGTTTGAAGTCTGTTAGGGACAGGTCCATCTTGTGTCTCCCCTGCTGGAATAAAATAGGGGCTGGAAAGGGCAGGGAGGACAGATCCCTGGTCCCTTCCTGAGATGAGAGAGCACAGCAGTAGGGGTCCCTGGAGTGAGGGCCAGGCCTTCCTCCCCTGCCCAGAATGCAGAGGTGCACGCCCAGCTCCAAGAAATGAAGCAGCTGTACGAGGCTAGCAAGGATGAACTGGAGTATCAGAAGCATATGTATGACCAGCTCGGGCAGGACCTTCTGCAGCACCAGCAGGAGCTCGAACAGCTCAAGACCACCCAGCCCTGTCCTGAACAGAAGGAAACATGTGCCAATAAGGTAATTATAGAGCAGGGCAATAAGCACTCCTGGCATCTGCTCTAGAGGAAGGAAGGGTGGAGCGGGAGGCAAAGTCCTCCAGCCAAGCATAGAAATAGGCAGAGCCATGTGCTGCTAACCCTCAAATAGTTTGCCTTAAAGCCAAAGCCACAGTGGGACCAGTACATCTGGATCCGTCGAATGTTGGATTGTTTGGGGTTTTTTTTGTTTTGTACCGGGGATCGAACTCACAACCTCACGCTTGCCAGGCAGGTGCTTATGCCACTGAGCTAAATCCCCGGCCCTGTTGGATTGTTTTTTTCCATTCGATCCCATGTGGTTTGCAATCATATTACAACTGTAGAGGTATCTGGTATTCATGGAGAGGCACATATATGTAGGCTCATTTGTGTAACTGTTACTGTTGGAACCAGAAAGTTTTGGAGATAGTTTTCTGAGACAGACTGTATGTATTCTTTTTATGGGCCCAGAGTGCTGATTGAGTAGAAGGACTTAGGCCTATGATGGCTAACTTTTTAGAGCTTTCAGTGATACAAACAGCCCACTGTAGCATGTGTACCATGTACCATGTAGCATGTTTGCCATCACTTGTAGGCTCTTCCAGGACTTACTTTGTGACTGGAAGTAACTTCTGTAGGCTTGCCTTCTTCAAACTGAACAGAATGTTACTTTAACCTCGTATCCGTTTAGTAATGAATCATGGTGGTGATAAATAAAGCCTTATTTACTTTTCCTTTTTCCATGGTATATAAAATGCAGGCCATTATCATTTACCCTGCTGGTACTTTCAGCCCCTGATTACCAGTAGGAAATGGGCAGGTGTTGAAGCATGTTGGAGAAGAAACACAAGACTCCCAAGAGGTGATAGAAGTGGCAACATTCTGCCAGAGTACTCAGTGGCTCCCGCCTCTGTCAGCAGCAGCCTGGGTGTGTAGGGAAAGGCCTTCAGGAGATAAAGGATTGAAAAAGTTACAGTCTACTTGCCTCTGTGCCAGGCTTATGTTTCCCTCTTTCTCCATGCATTCAATTTAAGGATTCAGGGGATCTGCAACTTGCCCATCTCTTCCTCTTCTAATGGAAAAACTAAGAAAAGAGAAGCACAGTCATACACAAAGCCAGCCTTTTCCCTGGTCACAGAGCAGCACTAAGGTTCATTTGCTATTAGAAAACTTGGTTATTTGAATCATAGGATAGTTCAATTTTAACCCAAATTCAGCAATAGCTCATAATTTCTAAAGGGTTTTTTGTTTGGTTGGTTGGTTTTGGTTTTTTGGTGTCGGGAAAAAGTCCTGAACTCAGGACTTTGCACTTAACAGATAGGCGCTTATACTGCTGAACTGTGTGCCCAGAACTTCAAAAGGTTTTAAGAGATGATTAGGAAAACAAAAATGGGAAATATTAGAGTGAAATTAAGCCCTTATTGAACAGGAACATAATTAGATCTGAAATTCACAATAATGAAAGTAGCAAAAATAAAAGAAAGAGTGTGTGTGTGTGTGTGTGTGTGTGTCTTAGAGCTGGAGTTCCTGCAGGGTGAGAAGATAATACTCCAAAGAAAAGGCCTCTTTGGTAGTACTTGGTATTTGGTAGTACTGCCTCTAAAGTCATCCTCCAAAGAAGCTGACAGAGGGAGCTCAGAACTCAGTAACTGACAATTTAAGCACCCCATAGGGCTCCCCTTTAGGATGGAAGCCTAGTCTGCTTCTGATGATCAGTCCAAGGTAACTGAATGGGGAGGGAGACCCTGGGAGCCACAGGAGGCAGAAGAGTGCACAGGTACTCTACCACCACCACCACCATCCCTGCTCAAGAGTATCTTACAAGCTGGGCATAGTGTGCATGCCTGTAATCCCAGCTCTTGGGAGGCTGAGACAGGAGGATCATGGTGAGTTCGAGAATGGCCTGGGCTACAAAATGAGTTCAAGGCCAGCCTAAATTGCATAGTAGACCCTGTCTCAAAAAGACAAAGGAAAAAGAAAAAAAAGAGTACCTTACAGAGTAACCATGCTTTGCACCCCACCCCCCACTCCACAGTGTGATACATTGCTGTCCAGGCTGACAGACTTGCAGGACAAGTTCAAGGCCAGCCAGAAAGAGATCGGGCAGTTGCAGATGGAGCAGTGTGAGCTCCTAGAGGATCTGAGGAGGCTGCAGGAGGAGCAGGGCCAGCTACAGGAGGAGCTGCACCAGCTTACATTCCCACAGCCCAAAAGTGGCATCTTCCATAAGGTACCCATAACCAGGACATAGCCACTGGTCTCAGAGAGGCTACTTTGAGAAGCTTCTCAGATGTGGTTGTCCCTGGGAAAACTAAATGGGTAGGAATTAAACATTTTCCTTTCTTGATTAATGATTCCTTCCTTTCCCATAAATCTCCCCATACCTAACAGCCCCACAGAGCTGATTCGGGGTTTTCCTCATAAGGGCTTTAAAACCTTAAAATATATTTCATACTCTGAAATCTTTGCAGCATTTTATATTTAGATATTTAGCCCATCTGGAGGAAATGCACCTGAAAGCATTTTGTAAATTATAAAATACATTAACATGGTCCAAGAGATCATTGATACTTAACTATCTGGTCTCCATAGGAAGACCCTATGTCCTCAGGAGGGCTGTACAAAGAAGCCAGAGATTTGGAGGGACAGTGCCCAAAAGGGATGTGACACAGGAGGGACCTGGAGCTTTCCCTTTAACTGCTATTCTTCCTTCCTCCTCCGTCCACTGTATTCAGAGTCAGGAACTGTGTACAAAGTTACAAGACCTGTGGGATCTACAAATCCTCTACCAAGACATGCAGGAAGAACAGAGAAAACTGATGCAGAAGCAAGAGAGTGTATTAAAGGAACAAATAGAGGCACACAAATTGCTGCAAGGTTTCAAAGAGTCTCGTTTCCAGGAAGTGTTGGTGAATCCTGAGGATGCCAAACAGCCTAAGTCCACAAATAGTGAGAAAAAGGTAACCATAGCAAGAAGAAGGGACCTCCCATGCACAACAGCATTTCAGGGAATGGAAGGGTAAGAGTTAGGAAGACATGTTAGATCAGAGGCAGAGCAGAAGTCCTGCCTTTCACCAGCCAGGACCACCATGGGCTCCATTAAAGTGTGGCATAGCATCTGCAGTACTGTGAGCACCTAGAACAGAGCTCGGGTGGCCTGGAAGTCTGTAATCTGACCACTGGATCCAATCTTATTGGCATATCATTTTCAAGAGATATAAGATCAGTTTAGTGTTTTAGAATCCTTTGGACTAACTCTAAATGTGTCATTCTTATGAAGAGGGATGTAATTTCTTCATTTTCAAACTTTTGATGGTTGTAACCTTTGATGTTCCATATGAGGCAAATCGGGATCCATTCACTCCAAAAGAAATGTATGCTCCTAGCATATACAATCACACTGACCACACTACATTCATTAGAACTATGGTGGCAGTAACAGAGCCAGGTCAGGGGAATCAGACCAGAAAATCCATGAATCTCTAGTACTACCAGGAAGTCATACATATGAGGTGGCAGGGGCAGAAATTTCCAACCAAGTCTATTCAGAGTTGGGGAGTAGGGTAAATTTGATTTGTGGATTCAGTGAAAGCAAGGAGGAGCAGATAGACAGTTTTGATGTACTACAGCCTTAACCTACTCATTCAGGTATTAATGTGAACAAGGACAAACAGAGTAATAGCAGAAACCTAAACTGAGACTCGGTCATATTCCAGGGGTATCAGATATCCAGGCTGAAAGCCTGGGTAACATAGAGACGGGGAACCAGGTATAAGATATTTCCTTAACTGATCAGATCTCACCTGGAGCAACAGCAGCCAAGAATGCAGGCCCAAAAACCTGGGAAACATGCCCATGAGCCAGATTCAGGATCTGGGCAGGAGATACAGGGACCAATAGTAATAAAACCTTGATTCTGAGTCTGTATCTTCCCCTAGAAACAATTCTTTATATGCCCACATTCAAGATTGAGGCTAATTTTAGCCTTAAGGAGCGGGAAAAAGATAGGATAATGGGTAGCCTTGATTAAGAAGGAGGTAACTCAGGGAGTCGGGATCTTCTTGAGGCCCACTCTACACTGCTCCAAGAGGAGAGAGGTGTACCAGAGTACAGAAACGGGACCCCTGAAATCATAAGAGTATCTGCCCTGGCCAGATTATCCCAAATGAGCAGGAAGCTGACACATGCCCATTACTGCAGGCTGAGTCATAGACAGGCCCCAGTGAGACTGAGGCATAGGTGTGCATACAGGCATCTGCCCCAAGTCAGGCAGCCTAGAGAGCTAAAGTGTCGTAAGGTAAGAGCTGTGTCTTCCACTCCCACCTCTGGCAGCCCAAGATGCTTCTGAGCCAGCTCCAGGTTCTACAGGATCTGTATGTCACCAGCCAGAAGGAACAAGAGCAGCTGCTACAGGAGCATGGGCGGCTCCTTGAGGAGCGAAGGAGGCTTCAGGCCGATTTGCAGCTCTGTCTAGAAGAGATGCAGCTGCTCCAAGCGCAATCCTCCTGTATAAAAACAAGTCTTGAATCCTACAAGGAAACCTGTGCCAGCAGTGAGAACTTCCACAGGAGTTATTGCAGCACTATTGATGACGAGAGCTGTAACAAGAGTTATATTAACACCCAGGCCAGCAGTGAGGGCTTCCTCAGGAGCTATGACAGCATCACATCTGGTGAGACCTATCAGAAGAGTTACTGCTCCAGCAGCAGCAGCATCACCTATAAGAAGAGCTATGGCAGCATAGGCAGCTCTGACAACTGTCTTAAGAGTTGCATCAACAGCGGTGCTGACGAGGCCCCAGCTGAGCTTGAAGACTTAGAGGTAACCATCCCAGGTGACAGATCAGGCAAGGGAAGAGGGGGTCTTGTCTTTAAGACAAACATCACCAGGGGAAGGGCACAGGAGTGAGAAGAGAGTGGCGTCAGAGCTGACCTGGGAAACTGCTGGAAGTGAGCATGGCTTCTGACCACAAGCCTTGGCCTCTCCCACAGAGTGAGGCCTAGGGCTGAGGTCTTTAATCACAGGTAAGATGCTCTTTATGGGGAGAAATAGTGTCCCCTGGGCAGCTTCAGATCCTGGTAATAACTGTTTTGTTTCCAGAAAATGGCCTAGCAAAGTGTGGGGCAGAGGTCAGGTACTTCTTGGGGTGCTGCCATTGCTCCCCAACCCTCCACAGAACTTTGAGGAAATGGTGGCCAAGGTGCTGACTAAGCTGCAGGCAGTGCAGGCCCTGTACCAGGTGAGCCAAGAGGAACACTGCCAACTGCAAGAGCGAATGAACAAGCTTCTGGACAGGCAGAGAGAGCTGAGGGAAGAGATCGATACCTGCGAAAAGGATTTCAAGGAGTGCATGGAAAATCTTGAGAAGCCCACAGTCCCCCACAGCGACAAGAACGAGGTAACTTCTAGCAAGGAGGCAGAGCTTCTCCCCGAGCTGTAGGAGGTGATGGCCATTTCTGAGAGACCAATGACAGAGCGGCAGAGTAGGGACACTGAATACCAGAAGGCTAGGTGTTCGTTGTTGACAGCCAGGCACTGGTCATTCCAACTTCTCTCATATTTTGTGCTCATTTCCTTTTTCTCTTTGCCACTTTTGTTGTCTCATTTGCTTTGTGTCCTAGAGTACTTCTGCAGAGCTATATTTTTCATTTAACAACTTTCATTTATTATTTTGTGTGCATTTATCTTATATCCTGCCAGGTTATAAGCAAGGACAGGGCCATTTCTTCTTCTAATTCTTCTTCTTCTGCTTCTGCTTCTGCTTCTTCTTCTTCTTCTTCTTCTTCTTCTTCTTCTTCTTCTTCTTCTTCTTCTCTTCCTCCTCCTCCTCCTCTTCCTCTTCCTCTTCTTCCTTTTCCTTCTCCTCTTCCTCTTCCTCGTCTTCTCATTCTCCTTCTCCTTCTCCTTCTCCTTCTTTTAAATGGCTCTTCTATGTAATTCAGACTGGCCTTGAACTCATTATGTAGCCCAGGCTGCGCTTAAACTTGTCCTAGCATTAGCCTCCCGAGTGCTAATGCTAGAATTACAGGCATACACCACCATGCCTGGCTATTGGATCTTCTTTTGGATCTCTTAATGTCAAGAAGAGTGCTCTGTGTCCACTAGGAAGAGGGCAGAAGACACTGCCTCTGGCCTGCAGTGATTCACAGCAGTGGGGAGTCACTGTGTGTGCACCTGGGAGAGACAACAGAGTGTTGCTTGCAGGGACCTAGACGGATTAGTACCTACCACGTGGATTACAAAAGGTTGCCAGTGGCCAAGAAAGATAAAACACGAGATTAGAGAGTGGGTTTGTAACTTGCTTCTCTTTCCAGGGGGAGGTATAGGCTCCCAGTCACACTCAGGCTTAGGTAGCACTTCCTTGAGTAGTTGTGCCTATTAGAGAAATGAATTGGGTAAAGTAGAAATTCCTATTAGGATAATTATATAATAAATCCTTGAGATTTGGAAGTAGTAGCATAGATATATATTTATAGATATAAATGTATATTTTTAAATTATCATTTGATCATGTTAAATATAAATCTTCAGATGCCTCAAGTTAGGGAAAAGATATTTGTAAAACTCTTAAAGCAGCTTGTTTTCCAAAGTTTAATGTTTTCTGTACTGTCTGCCTCCTCATGAACTATTTAGCAGGGATATTTCTGAAATAGTAACCCCAAAGTAAGGCCTAGGCTGACTATATGAGCCCAGCTCTGGGTAACTGGCCCCCCACTACCAACAGATCAAGGAACTGCAGACCAAGCTTCGGGACCTGCAGCTTCAATACCAGGCGAGCATGGATGAGCAGGGGCGGCTCCTGGCAGTACAGGAGCAGCTAGAGGGGCAGCTGCAGTGCTGCCAGGAAGAGCTCCGCCAGCTCAAAGAGAAGCCCTCTGTTGGCAAAGAGGCCAGGGGAAAGAATTGCAATAAGAACACAAACAAGAATGCCAATGGGACTACAAAGAAACAGGTGACCATGCCATGCAGTTCTAAGGGCAACTTAGCGACCAAAAAGGTGAGTGACAATCTTAGCAGCCAGTTAGACAAGAAGGTAGAGGAGGCCCTGGGAAGAAATGTCATCGCTACCACAATTTCTCCTAGGTGAAGTGTTCATAGGAAGGTTTCTGAGACAATTTCATCTCAGGAGAAAATTGAGAATCTTCCTAGGAGCTATAGAAAAAGTGGATACAACCTGTAGGCTGAACTACTTGCATTAACCAAATCCCATTTAGGGGACCCTGTTCTTGAATTATATACCCAAGAGAAGGACAAACAAAATGAAGAAAGAAGAAATTTCAAGTAGTTGTGTAAGAGTAAGTGAAAGAGGATTGGTATGATAGGAGTCACCTTGACAGGTGGGAAGTAAGAATTGAAGTGCAGAGCCCAAGAGTCTTTAGCCCTGGTAGCAATTTGAAATGGCTTAATAGCCAAATATGTGTTGGCACCAAGAGCCAAGTTGGTACCCTCCACATTATGCTCAGGGAGATTGGCTTGCAATTCTAGATTTCAGTGTTTCACCCTAGCATAGAAGCATGCTTCAAACAGTTTTGAGGAGATAGCATTATGAGCAGGGTAGATTCTTCACAGGTGACAGTGGCCCCCCTTCTCCCCTGCCTCCACTCTAGAGTCTGGAGGTGGTGCTGTACTACAGGTCCAGCCAGGAGCAATTAGATGAGCTAGAAAAAAAGGAGCAAAATAAGGAGGAGGTAGAAGAGACAACAAAGAAAGAAACAAAGGAGGAGTCCTGGACAAAGGAGGAGTCCTGGAATGAACCAGCAGATCCTAAGGAAGTTAAGTCAACTCAAGATCAGGAGGAAGAATATACAGAGTACAAAGAACAGGAGAATAAGGAAGAAGATGATGAAGATGAGGAGGAAGATGACTCTTCCCCTGAAACTGCAGAGGAAAGCCCCCTTAAAATTTCTGAGAGCAAAAAGGTAACCGCTAGAAGCTGGATCGGTTGGGAGATGGGCTGGGCATGGTGGCAGACACCTCTAGTCCAGCCCTTGAGGGGCAGGAGGATGGTGGTGAGTTCAAGGCCAGCCTGGACTGCATAGTGAGATGCTGTCTCAAAAAAAAAAAATTAAAATTAGGAAATAAGCCTTGGGCATAGGCATGTTAGGTGTTGAGGGCTGGCTCTGTGAAGAGTGGATGAACTTCTGCAGAAGCAGAGGCCGGTGAACATAAGGTAGGGCTCTCAGGGAAGATGGGAGTGGAGGAGGAGTTGGACAGAACAGTCTGAAGGAAATGGCAGCCTTAGACTGATTTACTGTTACCACCTCACAGTGACCACCTCTTCAGGAACCAGAGTGGGGTCTTTGAAGTTCTGTGTCCTTTCATTTACATGGTAGCCTTCATTACCTTCCTCCGTCAAGAGGGTTCCCATGGCCCTTTCCTTGGCACTGCACAAAGACCTTGACAGCATGAGGCCTTCTTCAGACATTTCTGTTAGCCTGGGAAAGTGACTCAGTGCTGTTTTCTCACAGTGCCCTGTTTAACCTTTGTCATTGCTATTAGGGATGTGGAGACGGGAATGATCTCTTCTTTGTACACTTGTATCATCCTTTGGGTTCTGTTGTCATAAGACATGAGAGTGGGGAATATGGTGACAGGAACAATGGTCAGAATTTCCATCTTTATGGCAGGAGCATTGCCTAGTCCATTGCCAACCATAGCTGTGTCCCTTTAGTTGCTGTATCAAACATTGAAGTAGGGTCTTCTGGGGTATATGCCAGGATGGTAGGAGTCATTTGCCCACTGTATAGAAGTTCTGGTATCAACTGAATACCTACTTTGGGATTAATTGGGGTCTCTGAGTACTTCCTGAGTATGTCCTACTTTACAGGATAGGTCTTCACTATAAGTCTGTTGTGGGATTACTCAATCAACTCTAAAGATATCTGGGTTTTTCAGCAATTCAGTCTGTAGCACTGGCTGAGGATCCCACATGGAGTTCTCTGTTAAACTTGTGACAGAGGCCCACTACTCATAATGTAAGGACAGCAGCTGAACCTTTTTCCAATGCTATTATTTTTTGTGCTCCTCTTATGCCTCATAGTTTTCTTGACCTTTGGGGTCACATTTCTAAAGTCAGACCTGATTTTTGTACTTTACAGTCAGGTCCAGTGATGGCAAACCTTTTGGAACTCGCAGTGACAACACACAGCCTGCTGCAGCATGTGTGCCATAAGTCTGCCACCACTGAGTCCTTTCTATGTCCTTTTGGCCCAGTGGATCCTCTCTTCTGCAGGCAGCTCAGCTGCAGATTCATTATTACCTACAGGTTCAGTTTCTCTCTTGACGATTGTTGCAGCCTCAGAACTAGCCCTTCCCAATTGTCAGCTTGTCCATTTTGTATCGCAGCTGAAGCGTCAGTCTCCTAGAGTATCTGAGGCTAAAATGCCAGAGCTTAAAATACCGCGGAACTTGATGGAAAATAGAGCAGGCAGGTGGCTGACCAAAGACTAGCTCTTCCTAGAGTGATCCAGGAAACATATCCTCTAAGAAAGCCAAGTTTTTACATCTGGGCCTTCATTTTTCCCACCGACATGAAAAGTTGAGGCTCAGATTACACCTGTTTGACAAGATATCAGAGGTACACAACAGGACAGAAAACTGGCCTCACCACCTGACTTGGACCTGTCCACTGCTTAACTTTTCAGTTTTGCAGCTTCTGCAGCTTCCAGTGGGAAGACTTCTCTCCTCTCCTTGAGGCTTGAGGAGCAGAGAAGAAAGATTACTGCTCTAACTACTTGGTTTTTAACATCTTGATTCTTTTTCTTTTCCCTTTGTTTTCTCACCTTCATTATCTGTTGGATTCATGTGTTTGCATCTTTTCATACCACTTCACATCTCCTGGTCTCTCCTCATGCTTCTTTCTCATTTGACATAGCCATCCCCTATCCCCGATCCCCCCATCTTTTCCTTGCCTCTTGTAGGCCTGGTGGTCATATCGGCTCTGCTCTGGTGCTGGTGGGCTGAGACGTCATCCTAACACAGGTACAAGTATGGCTTCCTCTCCTCTTTCCTCCCTCAGCTGCTTGCTCGTTACTTTTTCCATTTTACAGAAGGCAGTGCTCAGGACTCGGTTGTAACCCTGTCTTTTCCTCAGGCTCCTGCAAAGCCTGTAACTTCTCAAGCATGTTTTGTGATGCATGTAATTCACAGGGAGTTGGAATGCTTACCAGACGCGAGGTTTGAGTTTCTGTCCTTGGCTGGGAAAAACTTGAATAGTCCCAGCACTATTGCTACTGTCAAAGCTGTCTGCCTACTTCTGACATCTCTGCAAGATTGGCCTGGTGTCTCTTTGTCTTTAACTCTAGAGCCAAGCTCTCACCTTGCCTCTACACAAGATGGCAAAATAAGGAATCACTCCCTCTCCTGGTGGGTGAGGGAGGAGATAGTAAGAGTTATGATCCTGCCAGGGGTATTTGAATGAGGGGAGCTTAAACAGGTCCTTCCATCTTGAGGAAATAGAACAGAACCCCTACTGTATTATGTACTTTCTCCTCAAAAATTCTCTATTTGGGACTTCTGGTCTCCACAAAAATTAAAATAAAATGCCAGGAAATATTTTATAGCTCTCTGTTTATCCCTTTTGGAAGTCAAATTCCATTGTGATTGGCTTCCCAAGAGAAAATATGGTATTGATGAAAAGTTTGTGCTAGCTAGAGATGCAGCTGTTTTCAGGAAATCAAAACTGATGTATTCTGGCAGCCCCAGTTGGCCCTAATTCACTTAAATCTGATCTGTCAATGGAACACTGGATTTAAGAGACAGATTATGGTATCTTAGCCTGAGGGAGAACCTGGGGGGCTCCACATGCCTTCTGAAACTCAAAGTTGTTCTCTTTCGTCCTGTTTTGGCTGTAGTCTCGTGCTTTCCTTGCCACTAGCACTCCTTTGTCTTTTTCTCATGTTTTCACAAGTGAAGTATAATTGGCTTGGTCCTGGGTACAGAAGTGGCCGAAGTATTTGCTAGTGGTGCCTTTACCTTCTGCCCTTCCTTGCATTCCCCCTTGTTCCCCTACTTTGCAGCCCTTCTACTTTTTAGGCATGCCAGTTATTCTCCCATGACAACCTTTAGCTCCTTTAGTGACCAGGGTGTCTCCTGATACCTGTTCCTCCCCTGAACACCCGCAGTGTCTTCGTCCCTATGGGATGAGAACCAAAGCACTACATTTTGCCAACTCCAACACTGCCAGGTACCATCAGAGTGAGAGGAAGAAACTGCTAGTCAAGAGACCTCTTGGAGATTCTGGTATTATTCCCAGAGCTCTGGCTAAGTCTCAGTGTGTAGCTCCTCTGCAGGACTTGAAGTAGCTAAGTATAGTTTTAAAAAAAAAGTGTGGCTGATAGGTGGAGAGAACTTGTTTGAGTCTGTTCCTGCTTACAGGCTTTGTCCGGGAAAGCAAAATGCCTTATCTTGTATGTGTTCCAACTCCCCATGATGAATGCAATCAGTATGTACTGCAAAATAAAAATAAAGGTGCCTCATCTGAACTTCAGTTTCCTCAAATGTAAACAAAGGATAATTAAGCCCTGTCTTCCTCACAGAGGTTCTGTAAGGATCAGATGAGTTAGTGCATATAAAGGACTTTATAAAGTGCTGTATCAACAAAAAGAGCACACAAATATAGTACAATGAATCTTATATGCCAGGCACTGCTCTAATCACTTTACATATATTAACTAATTAAATCTTTGCAGCAACTTTAGAGGAAGCTCTTACTATTGTTATTTGTATAAGATAAAACTAAGGTATAGGGAGAGCTGAATACAGCCAAGAAATTGGGGCTCAGATTGTAAGGGCTTAATATTAGCAACAGATAATATCCTAATCCTGTTTCCGCCTGTTGTGTCTCCTCATTTTGAGCACTTTTCCTTGGTTGTCCCCCAAGTAATTAGGAAGTTACCGTATTTCTGTTGATCCAACCTCAGATCTCATCAGCTCTTTTACTATTTAACATCATGTCATTAATTTAGCATTCTCTTCCTATTCTATACGAGTTTAATTTTGGGGAGTCCAAAGGCAGAATTTTCCATTCCTGTCTATTATATAACATTGTCTAAACCTGTGAACTTTTACGGAATTTCTGTTTTTGTTTTATCTAAGCCTGTGACTTTAAAACATTCTCTTTCTCTGCAACTTCACGTCATTCCTCTGGGTGACAAATCCACTTCCCATGTTTATATCCAAGTTACAAATGAGGACTGAATCTTACTTAGAGTATCATCTCACAAGGTGCTTCTTTATCAGCTCCTCAGTTGCTTAATGATAGGCTTTCGTGGGTCAGGGATGTAGCTCAGCAGCCCAGCGCCTGCCTGGCAAGCATGAGGTTGTGAGTTCAATTCATGGTACAAAAAGAAGAAAGAAAAGAAAGAATAGGCTTTCTTGTCATCCTAGTTTTATTTGCACATGTTAGCCTCAAGGATTTCAGTGAAACTTGTTAAGTATCTTGGTTAAGTCCAAAACCATGATTTTCTTTATCTCTCTTTTTAGTAACATAGTCTAAAAGAAGGCACTTTCTAGAAGCCTGTTCCTTCCTCTGCTGGGACACCCAAACCATCCCTTTACATATCCAATCCAGTGTAAAGTGCACCAGTTCACATTTATGGATTTGTGGATTTCAACACTTACTTCCTTTAAGAGCATCAGACTGACATTTTTAGCAGTGCTTATAAGGATATAAATATCTGAGCATGTAAACATTTTTCTAGCTTCCTTCTCAATTATTTTCTCACATGAATTCTTATGGATATTATTTTGCTTTCCATTTCATTCCTATTCTCCTTAGTAACTATTTCTACAAATTTAGGAGATTTTCTTTGCTCTTTATAGTTGGCATTCCACAGTAAATCTGCTTACTCCTAGTTTCTTTCCTTCCTCTTAACTCTGGGTTCACTTGCCCTCTATAAAGCTCATGAGGTGCTCCCACTTTTCCCAAAGGCCCGGTTTTACCCTCTGCTCTCTTGCTATGACACCTCACTTTCCTCCTGCACGTACATGGAGAATCTGCAGTCTGGCCTGCAAACTTGCTTCAGTACAGGAGCCAGCTGTGGCTCCTGTGGGGAGAAGTGGGGGCATAAACACAGGCATCACCTGACATGGTGCACACCGTGTCATGCCATGTACCTGTCGTGCCAGAACAAACAGACTACATCATCTCTACCAGTCATGAGAGAGACTGAGCCATGCTGTTCTTGAGGTGTCCCTCTCCGGCACCGGCAGGCAGGTGATTTCTGGCTTAGGGAAGGGTTCAGAAGGCTGGGCATTCACCGTTTCTCTTTGGTCCCCACAGAACATGTCTGGGATGTGGAAGCCTATGGTATTCTTGGCTATTGCAGCTGTGGCTCTGTATGTGTTACCCAACATGCGACCGCAGGAGAGAGAGTCCTGGGCCAGCTGAGAGGGCAGATGCCCAGCAGCTACCACCCTCACCTTTGGGCAGGACACACTGTGCCAGAGGCCCCACCCCACCCATGTATCCCATATGTCCCCATCTCCTTAGCCTCAGTCACTCAGGCTGGAAAGGCTTATGGGAGCTTCTGGCTCTCACTGGCTCCCATTTCCTGCCTTGTATAAGAACCTGGGTTCCTTGTAATTAAATATCAACCAAATTACATGAGACTTTGTGGCTTTTTATTTGCTAAATGCTGCTTTACACAAAACAACACAGCAATTTCCCTTCAACCACAGATTTCACAAAAGCACCTGGCTCTTAAATATGATTTTTCACCCTGAAGTGCAGAGGGGTTGATCTGTCTTTTAACCCTATCTCAAGGAACTCCTCTGAGCATGGGAAAAATGGAGGGAACTGGGTACTTTGGGGGTCAGGTTCTGTGCCTCCACCATCCATGTAAGAAGGAATCACTGAAGATCAGCATGGGAGCCTTGGTGGCTTAGTCCTTGTGATTTCTCAAGGGATTTACTCAGAGATGACTTTAATCAGTCAAGGTCCTGGCAGTAAGCAGGATGTTCAAAGCCTTAACTGAAGAGTATTTAATGAAGGGACTTTGCACAGAATGCACAGTTAGGAGAACCAGCAAGAATTTGTGAAGTACCCAGGCCCTTGTGGCAGTGAAAAGCTGTTACTACCCCAAACTGGAGCCAGAGGACAAGGAAGCAAGAACTGGAGCCCTGAACTGGTGGACCCAGACAGGAGCTCTATGCGAGAGCTTGATGAAGTGGAAAGGCTCTTTAGTCCCCTGCCCTTCCTCCAATCTGCCAGCTTTCCATAATTAACACCTCTCAGTGACTAAATCCAGGTGGGAGCAGAGGTGCTCCTGGAGCTCAGCAGTGGGTCTAAGGAGACAGCAGAATGGCTGGGGTGCTTCATGCATGCCCCTGTTTACTTCTGTTTCTGTGGAGTTCTTTCTGATTGATTGATCTCATCATGGGTGTTTGCATGTGAAAGACTATTTTTTTTTTAAATTTTATTTAAAGAAAAAAAGGTACAAGTAATACAGAATTTCTTTTTTTTGTTGTTTTTGTTTTTTTGTTTTTTTGTTTTTTTTTGTCTTTTTTGAGATGGGGTCTCAGTTCCAGCTGGCCTTGAGCTCACTTTTTGTAGCCCAGGCTGGTCTCAAACTTGAAATGATCCTCTCACCTCAGCCTCCCGAGTGCTGGGATTATAGGCATGAGCCACCACGCCCAGCTCAGTAATACAGAATTTCAAAAAATAAACAAATCACTAGTTAATAGATTACATATTGTCATCTTAGAAATAGTTGCTCAAATCACAGTATCAAAGCATACAAAGTGGACATTCAAACAGTGAGACTGCAAACAGTTGTGTTCAATGAACCAACAAAAACAGTCATATGGTTATCTATCTTACACAAACATACATGCAGTTGTATCCTTTAGAGCACTTTCTTTTCCTCTCTTTTTTACAATAACAATTACACATTTTGGATTTTATTTTTTAAGCCACAGTGCTTAGAATGGGCTCTATGACCACCTTGGGCCCTTCCTCTTGCCTATCAGTTGACAGCGAAGGATTTTGTCCCATTCAGCCAAACATCTGAAGAACGCAGAGGTGTACTGTGGTGGCTGGGCACTAAATGAATCCATTTCTTCCCCCAACCCTTTCCTAAGGGGGAGTAGTAGGAACATTTAGGTGAAAAACCTTTCAAATTGTACCATAGTCCAACCTGAGGCCATACTGACTATACAGCCCCTTGCAAACTCGGCTGCAACCAGGCAGTGCCCTTTTACCTCCAAGTGATCTTTTTATCTTTGAGACAGGGTCTCACTATGTAGTCCAAGCTGGCTTTAAACTCACTATGTAGCCCAATCTATGCTCTAATTCACGGTGACCCTCCTGCCTTTGCCTCCCAAGTACTAGGGTTACAAGTGTGCACCACCACGTGCAGCTACAAGTGACTCCTCTTTGAAGATCATCCTTATTTAGGGTAATCTAGCCCCCTTGCTACCATGTGGCCCAGGTATGAGCAGTCTCGACATCTCCTGAACCTTTTTACAGTCTCAGCCCTCCTGACACAGAATCAGCTTTGTAACGTACCCCGCTGATTAGTAAGCCCAGTAAAACTCTGGAAGCACTGCCCTCCCAATTATTTTAAGGTGTATGTTCTTAATTGTAACCCAATTAGAAAAACTAGCCACCCCTGTGGTGCACATCTATATGCCCAGCACTTGGAAGGCTGAGAAAGGAGGTCTGTGGCAAGTTTGAGGTCATCCTGGCCGATATAGAGAGTTCAAGTGTAGCCTGGAATATGTAGCAAGACCCTGTCTCAAAAACCAAAAAATAAAACAGAAGTTCCTTCAGAGTTACCTAGTGCTAGTTTTACTCTGCCACCAGTTGCCTGAAAACATGTAACAGGAATGTCTGGAAGATTGGCTATAGCCAAGGATTATAGTCTGAATATTTGTGTCTCCCAAGATTCATGTTACAATCCTAGTCCCCTATTAAGAGTTGGGCAGAACCTTCATGAGTGGGATTAGTATCTTTAATGAAAGAGACCCCAGGGGCTGGGATTTAGCTCAGCGGCATAAGCGCCTGCCTTGCATGTACGTGGTCCTGAGTTCGATCCCTGGTACTGATTAAAAAAAAAAAAGACTCCAGAAGATCCCTCAGCCCTCCACCCATGAGAAGTCACAGGGAGACAGTGAAGGAAAGGGTACCCCCCATATAAGAAATCTGCTCAGTGGCATAAGCACCTGCCTTGCAAGCAGGCAGTCATGAGTTCGATCCCTGGTACTGATTAAAAAAAAAAAAAAAAAAGGAGAAACCTGCAGGTGCCTTGATCTCAGATTTTGCAACCAGCAGAGCTGTGAAAAATAAATTTCTCTTGTTTACAAGCCATCTAGTTGGTGATATTTTGTTACAGCAGCTTAGAAAAAGTATCAAAGATCATGGTTTCAACTTGGAATAAAACATGAAGATGAAGGCTAGGTTCTGATAGGCAGTTTGTCTCTTTGGAGAATCTGAGCCTAGAATATGGGCCTGCTTTCCCCAGCATTCTGCTTAGAGTACACAGCTTTTCCCTATAGAGCACTTGTACCTCTACTCAGTTTAGTATGTCTTCTTCCTCTTCATTTGGCTTGAATTGGTGCTCCGTTGCCTTGTTGATCCAGATTATTATCAAAGCTTGAAAAAGTTGTTAAATGTGAAACATTCACTAACTTTAACTGTGGGAGAGAAGTCGTTAAATCTAAGCCTATGTGGTATGTCTTAGAGGCCATAGGTAGGTATACCCCAGCTGAGGTACGGCAAAAACCAAGGACCCCAGGCACTTTCAGGAGCCTCCATCTCTGCTAGCTATTGCTCTCTGCAAAGCTGCCTGCTTTCTACCCTCTCCCTGTAGGCTGGGCCACTCTGTCCCTGCCCAGCGCTGCACCTGCCACTTCTGCCAAGGACCAGCTGCTGCTGGGAGCGGGGTGAGAGGTTCTAAGGATCACTGTACCACTGGTTCTGATTCCAACAGGCAGAGTGTCAGTTTGCTTTCAGGGAAGAAGCAAAAGGATCAGCATGGAGATCCGGCTGATGGATATATAGGGCTCCGACTTGACACAGCACTCCTCAGAATTCACTCAGTGCCCTAAACACCAGCAGAGGAAGCTGATTTTTTCATTTTCTATTAGACACCAGTACCATGCTAGTTATCCTTCATGTATTTCTTTTCCATACATTTGTTTAAATCCCTAGTAAGAATATTGTTAACCCCGTTTTATACATGAAAAAAAGGAGCCCCCCAAGTGTTATATAACCTGTCCAAGGTGACATAGCTAGAAGTGAAAGGGCTGAAATTCAACCTGTAGCTCTTTCTGCTCTACCACACTGTCCCTGGCAGCCAGGTCAGAGCCACAATTAGTGTCATTGATTGTCAAAGTGCCTGATGTAGTTCTGGCCAGCCCAGAATCACCACAGATGACTATGGTAATGTCCTTGATTTCAAGAAAAAGAAAATTTTAAATGTGGCTCATTGCACCTGTTCAGGCAGATTCAGTCCAGCCCACATTAGATATGCTTAATGTTGGTGGCTGACAAGCAGTGCCTTTTGTTGGGAGAGGCAGCCTCAGGTGGGAGCCAGACAACCTGGTCTCCAGAGACAGGTCAGCGGGTGGTGAGTCGAGGCTATAAACAGGCTATGGGGCCCAGCCAGTGCTGCCCCACACACTCAGCTGATGAAACCCCTTGTGAGCCCCTCTCTGTGCCCCTGCCTGGCTTGCAGAGGTACACATTAGCTCTCCTCAGGGAGGGGGCCTCACTTGGCAGGCCCTACACAGCATTGCGCACGGTCTGTTCTGGGCCTGCATGGCCGGGCCTGGGACCTGGGCTCATGGGCTATATTGAGGGCTGAGTCACCAGCCTGTGCCTGGGTAGGCTGGCTGACTGGCTGCTGGGGCCTGACTCAGGCCCCGATTTATCCTGGAGAGCAAGAGACTCAAGTTTCAGGAGCGGGTGACAGGAACCATCATCCACTGGCACTCTGCACCCTGCTCTGCCGGCCATTCATTGCTCTTCTGAGGCAGAGTGTCGCTTTCTCCTGGAGTGAGACTAAGTCAGAGAGGTAGAGCACAGGCTAGCCTCAGAGTTCTTTCTTCCACACAGGTTTCTGTCTGAACCCTCCCACCTCAACAGAGGCCTTTAACTACTGGAGTGCCCTGATAATGCTCACCAGACAAGACTCTGAGCTGTTAGGGTCTGGCAAGTCCCCTTTCTTCACCTCCCCAGTACCTCAGGGAGGGATCTATTCTTTCTTAATTCTACCTCAGTTTCCTCCTCAAAGCTTCAATATAACACTGGGACTCTGGGCTCTTGACACCTCAGGTTGGCTGTCACATGGCTGCCTTCAAATACACACACACACAAAATTCTCTGTGAGCCCCAACTATGTGCCCCAAGCCAAGCATCTCTCCACGGAAGCTCAGCCTCTCCAGTAGACATCGCTGGTGTTGATGGGTGGTTTTGGCCATGGATGAAGGTGGCTTGGGGAGAATGAGTGTTCTAGAGAAAGGAGAGAGAGTTGCCAACAGGAGAGTGGAATTCCTGAGCACCTCGTCACAGGCAGCCAACAGAACATGAGCTGTGGAGCCCAAGCTATTTATACCTCGCCTGTCACTATCAGGGCCCCTGCCCCCCCACCCCCAGCCATGT